TATGTATTCATTTGACAAACATAAATAGGTTGATACAAATCTGGAGAAAAATATTTTCTACTGAATTACTGAATATAACATGTGTTGAAAAATGCCCAAATCTTATTGGGATTATGCGACGATCAGCAAGGGCAAAAGATTGGTCATTAACATCAGATTATGAAATAAAACTATTGCTCAACGGTGATACATTAACACGTACTCAAGAAATATCAACTTGTGAAACTTTACTATATGAATTGATCAATTTGAAGGAAGAATTCGATGATAATGAACAAGCTTTAGTAAGTCTTGAACACCTTCTTTTCCTTTTATGAAATAAATATTTAAGAACTTCATATATATTTGTTTTTTATTATTTCGTTTTAGTCATTCGACTTTACTACTAAAACTGGTCTTTCTTTTGAAGTTATTTTTGAAATAACAAAATATCTTTCATTAAATGATGCAATGAATGCATTTCCCGATAATATTCTTTCTTTAGTACATAAATTTGAAGCAAAAGTACATATTTCTGAATCTTCTTATACATTTATCAATATGATTATTCAAAAAATTAAATTTGAACAAATTACTTCCTTACATCTTAATGATTTATCATTTTCAAAAATGAAAGAATTAAATTCGTCAATTATTTTTATAAATGTTATCTCATTAACTCTTCTTAATTATCAATTGATGAATTCAATTAAAGAATACAAAGTATATTTTCCTAATTTAATTCGTCTTTGTCTTTGGTATGACAATCAAGTTAATTTTAATATAATTAATGAAATCAGTTCTCAACTTTGGAGTTCAATTAAACGATTCGAAATTCATTGTGCTGGACCACTTTGTAAACATTATGATATCAATGAACTCAATATGAGATATCTTAGAAATTATACAATAGAATATTTTCTACTTGATGTTAGACATTTTCCTTTGTCTTCATTGCATCAATGCTGGAAATTTCAAGAATTATGTTTTTTAATGGTAACGATTGATTTTATCAGAAAAATTCACAATGTTCGATATGTTCATCTCATCATTATTAATGAATACAATCTCAAGAAATTACTAAATGCAAATGAATGGACAAAATTAGCAAATATATGTCATCAATTGAAGAAAATAACGTTACAAGTAATGGAAACTATATCAGAAGATCAACAATTAACAGAGGAAATAATTGAAATTCAAAGAAAATTGTATAATATTAGAAAAACAATCAAATTTCAAGTTATATGCAAGTGATTGATTCTATTTCAGTATTTTTGCTCATGCTTGTCTTTTTTGTAAAATGTTCGATTTTGAAACATAAACAAGCAAAAAATAATAATATACAGTTCAATAACACATTTGTGAATTTTGAATTGTTTTGATTTCGATATTTGAAGTATATTTATGCCCTTTTTTTTTCTACGAAAATTTAAACGAAAAAAAGATAGATTTTTCATTTATAGAAGCATCTATAAAGTGCTTACAATTAGAAATTTTCTAAAAACAAATTGGTACTGAATTTAAAAAAAAAACACGAGTTGAAATCCACAAAATCACAAAAGCTTGTCTATACAGATACATCAGAAGTAGTGAACTGCACGGGAGTCGGAGTAAAAAATTGAACCAAACACCGATTTTCAATTTAGACTCTAACGAAGCTGAACTGGTAGAGATTGTAAAAAATTGTTTTTGGTAGCTAATATCTGAGTTATATTAGTACAAAATTTAAAATGTCTGATTTTGTTTTAGAAACAAGTTTTTTCATAAACATATATAATAAACAAAAATGTGCTACTGTTAGGTTTATTAATCAATTTTAAGCAAAACTAATGACTCAAGAAAGATGTTGATATTAATCACTACTATGTTGAAAAAATAAAATATACTAATCAAGAATATATTCTTGACTATGTTCATTAAAACTATCGTCGACATCGGGAAACAATTGCTTGAGGCCGTTGTTCGTTTTTTACGAGAATCATTTTTTTGATAATTCTCTTAAAGTTTTCATATTCTTCTGAAGAAGTAATATGCGGTTTATTTTTTCAGAGTCTAAATGTGTTCATTTTTCTATAACAAGGTTTTTCGCTTCTGAAAAAAGGTTCGATGGTCATACTCGGAGCTGATATTCGATAAACAATCTTTGCAATACTTGATAAGATTAGATATAAATGCTGTTGTTGTCGCCAAAATAATAAAATATCAATATTCGAAACTTCGCTAATAGGATTCTCGCCACTAGGATGTTCGCCACTGACGAAAATCCAGGGATATATTGGTGAAACTTCACTGCACTTTCGCCAATTGGCGAAATTCCAAAGGACGCATTGGCGAAAGTACGATGGGCTTTCGCCAGTTGTGACGGATTAATACTAATATAGAATACATACGAATCTAATTCAAAATCTACTGGGCGAAATTCCAGTAGAATTGTTGACGAAAGTACAGTGGAATTTCGACCATTGCCGAAATTCTAGAGGGTATATTGATGGAAGTTTTATTGGCCAAAATCTTATTGGCGAAAGTCGGAACTTCCATGTGCACGGCCTTCTATCAGAATGCTTATTATCAGAAAAACTCATTAAAATCAGCAGCCAAATAATCATCGATTTTTTTATATGAATTTGCTATCGCTAAGCTATCAAAAAAGTTTCGGAGTTTTTCGGAGTCGGAGTCGGAGTTCGAAAAAATTTCTCGTCGGAGTCGGAGGTGGAATCGGAATCAAAAATAAACTTTTTTCGGAATCAAAAAGTGTGTCTCCGCTGATCACTAATCAGAAGAGATCCTCTATCTGAAATTAAGTTATAAAATGCTTGGATAATGAAACAATTTTTTAACAACTACACGAAACATTCGCAGTTCAATTCCAAAAGTTTTATGTTCATTAAAATGATATCGTACATGAATTATCATATGATTAAATAACTTTCAATTAAGTCTCAATTATCAAAGAATAAACTGGGCATTATCTAGTTTCACAAGTGAATGCAAAGACTACATGAAATATGATATGATTTCGAAGTTAAAACTTAGTTACAAGATTAGAAAAAGAAAGAAACTTAAATTGTTGTTTTTGCTATATAAGTTCACTTAATGTGAAATTCGTACAGCAAGCCCAATCAATCATTTACAATGATTGATCTGATTTCAAAATTAAACCATCTTTCACGACAACAGCATAGGATCAACGAATGTAGCAGGTACCCATTGAAAGAGTTGCAATAAGTCTTGTACCATCTGAAAACACTACGAGGTGATTATATATAGTGCAATCGGTTCGAATGAACTAGATCTGAATATATCTTTAAATAATGTCAAACCAATTGTATCCGTAAACATACTACTTATTATTTCAATGAACTATTGCGGTATAGTCTTACTCTCACGATAAAAAGCATATCTTTATTGATGTATGAATATCTTTGTTTAGAAGGAGGTACATATTTTAACAATGAATTATATATTGGATAAATTAATAAATGAATGAAGTTATAAACAAATATAATCATTCTATATTGACTACAAATGTTGATCCATTATTTAAGACGATGATAAATCGATGATTTATTGGAATATTTCTTTAAATAAAACTTATTGTTTTTTCTTGAAAAAATTAATATTTGCATAGATTGATTAATAATTAATATAAAACCAATATTAGATATTCTACAAGCTTTATCACCATAGTAACGTATTTTTTCATAACATAATACACTTTCTTTACATACAAGAGTGTATAAAAAATGTGAAGATTCATTTCTTGATGATGAACAACAAAGAACAGAGAAAGAAGAAATTCTTCTATAGAATGAAGAAACACAGACTGATTTTTTTCTTCTGAATACGATTGTTCTTCTTGTTTAACAGAAAAAAATCTGATTAAAATAATATCATCATTATTTATTTCATTTGTATTTGGTGTTATAACACATAATTCTTACTCTTTATCAACAAAATATGAGAAATAAACAACATGTGGAAACTTTATCATCAGCACGAGAACAATGATTAGATGATCATAATGTATCACATATACAACGTTTAGAAGACTTCGATTGAGCTCGAGAAGAACGATGTCGAGATCTGCTCTTTATCAATTAAGTCATTGAAATAATAAAATTAATTAATGAAAAAGAAGATGTCTAGTATTCATTGTGAAGGTCTACAACTTTTCTTTTTCTTTTTTCGAATTCTATTAAATGAAATTATACACTTTTGTTCTTGTTAAATAATGTCAATCGATCAGAAATCATATTGAAAGTACAAGAAAATGACCTTTGAAGCATTGGCTAACGAATTATTACTCGAACTATTTGAATTTATGGGTGTTGTTAAACTTTTTCGTGCTTTTCATTACCTTAATAATGATTTTAACATTATTCTTTTCACTCATTTTCGAGCGTATCGTGTCAACTTTCATTCTGTATTTAAATATCATTTTGAGATTCTTATCAACAATATCTTCAATCAATGATTGATCAAATAACTGCATTTCGATTCTCAAACAACAGTCGTGAAAGTCGATCACAAACAGACCATTTCTTATGATCTTCTAGTTGATCTGTTTATTCATTTATGATGGATCACTTTCATTATGTTGTATTACTGTCGAAAAGAGATTGCAAGGGTGTTGCTGTGGATGGTGGATTTTCTTTTTATCCTCATCCTCATTAGAGAGCAGCGGATCCGTCCAGATCCGGGTTCGGATCCTGTCGGGTCCGGGTCCAGGTCCAGAAAATTAATGTCACTCGGATCCGAGTCTAGAAACTTGATATCACCTGGGTTCGAATCCGGGCCCGGGTCCATATGTGATTTACTTTCAGACCCGGTTTGCATTCAGCTACGAATCTGAATACTGAAGAGTTCAGGTCAACGTATAATATTTTCTGTATTCTGTTTCAAAATTTCTTGACTACTTTTTTAATTTTATAATTAAAAAGTCATTTCAAATACAAACGAACTTAAAAAAACCAAGAAAAATGGAAAAAAAATAAACGAATATGAATAAGTTACTGTTGGTTTGACAATTTTCAATGATGAGTTTTGATTATCAACTAACTCTTCAATTTCCTTTTTGGTTAGCATCATGTTCTTTTCAGTTAAGCAATAAAATTTTAATTATTAAGCATCACATCGCATGATGAACAAGTGAACAACAGAAAATAACCGCAGATAAACTTTTTCTATGAGAGTAGCCAATAATTAGCTAAAACTATGAGCCTTTACTTGTTCATATATACAGAGGATGCAAGATGGTGTGGGTGTGGATCTGGGTGTGTGGGTGTAAGTGTCAGTATGGATAAGGAGAAGACCACTATCCGCACTTTTATACACAATCACATCCACATCCACACCCATCCACACACCCTTTATGCTGATTCCGAATATCATGTTTTTTTTTGCAGTAGAATCGACTTTTAATGGTCAAAATGTAAAAAATTCTGAAAAATTGTGATGTAAACGTATCTTTGATGAGTGGTGCTTTTCAAATCGAACGTGTGGAGCAAACTAAATAGTCCAAGTTGTAGAGCAAGTGATGCTCTATCCAACTGCCTATGCTAACTTTCTGGTTCATTCCAACTTTCTGATTGATTTTTTTCAACACTCTTCCTCACAAAGTCAACAAGAGGACCTCACAAAAGTCCGTGAAAACGTTTTTTGATTTCTATGAATTCTGATGCAGTTTCTCACGAGGAATCTGAATGTCTCATTGGTTTCAAAATTTGAGCAAAAAAAAGTGGAATTTCATCGATTTTTCTATCAAATGTTGCATTGATTTTTTCCAAAAATGCAAAAAAGTGCTAATAGTAATTGACCTGTATCTTTGCGAAAATAAGGTCTAACCCTAAAAATTTTATTACTAAAATGATCAGCGTAGAAAGCTGTACAAACTCTGAAAGTTTCATTGGATTTGGACGAGATCGCCGGATCGATCTGGCGACTTCCCATGGAGATACCCTGTAGTTCGATTTTTTCTAATTGAAATATGGGGTGGGTGTGGATGTGAGTGTGGGTTGGGTGCGGGTGTGGGTATGAATGAAGGGAAGATTAACACCCATACCCACACCCCACACCCACCCGAAAAATGAAACCTAGATGCATTACTGCTCACACACCCAAACCCGCACCCTAAAAGAAATTTCTTATCTCGTTTATGTTTATTTGTTGTTCTGTTTTTTTGTCCTTGTCAGAGCACCTGCACAATACTCGTGAAAGTCGAAAGTATATTTTTACAACCAGGTCAAGCACGTCTCTTCTATTTACTGCTTTTCAACAATCTTATTTTATCAGTATAATTGCCTATGCTTCTCCATCTTTATAACTCAAATGAAAGATTAAGTTACACGTTTGAATGCAAACGTGTCAAACAATGGATGCAAATTCTCAAGAATGGGGTATAGATGCATTTATACCGTATTATCGCAACTCGCTTTGCAATTTACAGACAGTTAATAATGAATTATTGGCAACAATTCTTCAGAAGAATCACTCTTGTGCTTTTTTTAAAGATAGATCGATTTCATTCTTGTCAACAAATGATACTGCTGGAGAAAGAGAATATAAATTAGTCGATGAATTTCGAGAAAAAGTTCCATTAACAACATATGAAGACTATCGCGATTATGCAAATCGAATGGTTGTTGATGGCGAAAAGAATCTGCTCTGTATCGAAAATATTCTTTATTTTGCAACTAGTACCGGAACTACGGGAAAGTTCAAGCTTATTCCTGTAACTCCACCGATGATAAGAACAGTTAATGAAACTGCACATCTAGCATCCTCTGTTATTCGGAAATCGTTTCCTTCTTCAGCGTCTTCTTTTCCTGAACAACATCCTTTCACCTTGCTAGGCGGAAAAAACACAGAACTGTATCAAAGATCAAAAGATGGCATTCCAATTGGTCCTCTTAGTCACTATTTTTCGGCTAATCCAACAATTCCTCGAACTCGATCAATGTTGTCTATTAATAATACCCTCACATTAAATATTATTGAAGGAATCCATGATTTTGATACAAGTGCATTTGTTCAACTCGTTTTTGCATTGGCGATTCCGGATGTTTCCTCCTATACGGTTTATTTTGCGCCAGGATTCATTCATACTATCAAATTAATCGAAAAATATTTTGAAGAAATGAGTCTTTGTATTTCTTCTGCTAATTTCGATCAAAGTTCACTCGTTCAAAAGAATATTGTGGATTCAGACTTTCGAGCAACCTTAAATCAAACATTGAACGAAGTGATTGTTCAATATGGAGGAGAGACATATCGATTGGGACGAGCTGAACATATTCGATATGAATGTCTCAAAAAAAATGTTCCAGGACTTCTGCATCGTCTTTGGCCAAATATAATTTATGCTTCTACGACGATAGGAAGCACATTTTCAATGTACAAAGAAGTTGTTCAATATTATTGTGGAGAACGACTAACTCTGATTAATTTACTGCTCTAAGGTGCAAGTGAAAGCTTCTTTGGATGTATTGCAAGTATTCACACTGATGAGTACTTTCTATTACCAACATCCGTATTTTTTGAATTTATTAAAGAAGAAGATATTCAACAAGTAAGTCTCCTGAAAAAGGTTATAATCAAACTGCAGACGTAGCACCCAAAAAACAATATACCTAGAATTCCGTTAGCTGTAAAATCAGTATTGAATGATGGCTGTGTTTTAGGTGTTTATTTTGTACTTGATAGCAATTTAATTTTTCAGATCTGGACTCTTCTGATATCGAAAAACATTTCTTATCACCGATCAAATTGAAGTCTATATAGTTCGACGGGATGAGTGTGCTGAGTTCGAAAATCACACTTTAATCTGAAGTATTTTCTCGAAGCTCTGAAAATCAGTTATAGAATCATTTGACGGGGATTTTTATTCTACACCATAATCTATAGGAACTTCTTGAACATTTAAATCTTTTTCTAACGATATAGGCCAGATACCACCCCTATTGAATCAGTTTGCTACAAACACTTGTTTCTTTTTAGTCTTATGAAGTTGTATTTTATACAGGTGCACAAACGAGATTTTTTTTAATGAATACGTAACTCGCTATGTTCTTTATGATGAAATTATTTTTAGTTGAGCATTCGATGTGTGAATGTCGACTCTGTGCTTAAAACCATGTTTTCTAGAGTTTGATATGAGTCGAAGTAATTTCGTATTAGCCACTTCAAAGCAAAAGAAATATGTTCTGGATCATAATTCTTTCAATCTGATATAGAGTGTAAACTTATTTATGCATTTACATGTTTCTTTCTCTTTGAGTTGGCTAATATGGTTCTCTTTCGACTCATACCAAAATGTAGAAAACGCAATTTTCAGCCCAAAATCGATCTTTAAACATCGAATTTTAAACTGGATATAATTTCATCAAAAAATAGCACAGTGACTTACATATTTAGTAAAACAATCTCGCTCGTGCATTCATGTAAACCACAGCTTCATAAGACCAAAAAAACTATTCTTTGTAGCAATATGATCCAATTGGATGGTACTTGGTCTATTTCGCTAGAAAAATATTGAAATATCCCAGAAGTTGTTATAGATTCTGATAGAAAATAAAAATCTGTGTCGAATGAATTTGTGTGGCACATATAAGTTGAATTATCATTGACTTTTCGATCAAAAACTGAATTTCAAAGCTGGCAAAAAATGCTTAAAATCTTTCTTTTATAATTGAAGTACCTTTGAAAAAAATATGTCTTTCAAAACCAGCATACTCAGCTCTCTCGAACCCTATAGACTTCAAATGCGATGACGGTCAAAATGCTTTTCGGTGCCTGACGAACTGCAGGTCTCGAAATAATTAGAATTCAGTACTGTTTCGAAGGCTAATGAAATTATAAATCAATTTTTTGAGATGCCAAGTTAGCCGTTTGAGAAATCTGCTTTTGACAGCCAAGTCAAATCTCCACTAGTGACTTTTTATACATGTTTGCAAACAGTATCGATCTAGTTGAGTAATAGAGTCTACTGTTCAAGTTGAAAGCTAATTTTCTTTTGAAGAATAACAAAGAAAATTTTGGGAGTCAGTTTTATTCTTCAAATTACTATTTTTTTTTGAAAAACTGCGAATGTTATAAGTTGCTTTCTATTAACTTCTAAGAAGCTTTTCATAAAGTAGAATCTGTGAGACAAAGTGGATTTCCTGAGCTTTTTCAGAAGAAATTTTCTTTTCAATTAAAAAATAACACATATGTTCACACACACAGATGTGTACTCTTTTCAATCACCTACAAAAATTCGAAAATGAAAATTTTACTTAAACTTCAAATTGTATGATTCTTATGGTGTTCTCTAAACTGTTGGGCCGTACTTCGTTCAACCGTTTTATTACGTAGTTGCTATTCTAATTCTTATTCAGGCTCAACCGAAAACTCTTCTTCTCTCAGAGATTGAACCAGGACATCGATACGAAGTGGTTTGTACAAATGACGGTGGATTGGTTCGATATAGAATGGGAGACGTTATCAATTGTACAAGATTTTTTTCTCGAGCTAATGATTTGGTCCCATTACCAGAAGAACCAGTCGACATTCCTCGAATTCCTCTCATTTCGCTTGCATATCGTGTTGGAAACGTTTTAGGTATATTTGGTGAGAAAATAACTGAACAACACATGATGAATGCTCTTCAACAAACAATTCGTCAATGGAGAGAACAAGGAATACTGGTTGATCTGCATGATTTTACATCGTGTCCAAAACTAGATGTATTTCCAGCCAAATTTGTCATCTTTCTGGAATTGATTGACGATCAAGGGTACAAAATTGATGCACAACAACTTCGAATTCTTCAGAATACCGCCAGTGCAGAAGTCGATCAACAACTTTGCAAAGCGAACCAAGGTTATACAAATGGTCGAAGTGCAACAAGGCTTGATTCCCTTGATTGTATTTTTGTTCGAACTGGAACATTCTCAACATTCGTAACCAAATTCTTGATGACCGATCGCACCAGTTCTGTGCAAATCAAACCTCATCGAATACTGAAGAATGAGGATCATATTCGATTCTTTTATGACAATCAAATTGATATATCATCGTCGTAATTATCATGTGTTTTTTTGTAATGAGGGTGACCATCGAAATAATACTCATTTGACATCCTATCTATTTAGTTTTTTGGTTTTATTAGTGCCTTTTTTTAATTAATAAACATATGCTTAATCGTCACTCTAATTTCATCAAAATGAAAGAATTCATTGTAATGTGGGTGCGGGTATGGGTGTGAGCATGACAGAATAAAACGGCCACACCCACACCCACACCCGCACCCACAGATCCTTAAGGACTATCTTATGGGTATTCCTATATAGTAGACCTTGAGGGCCTATACATCCACCCATGTTATAACATCTAGAATAACTTTAAGTTAAGTTCATTTGAAAAGAAATATTTGAAAAAGCTCAGCTTGTTTAAAAGAGCTGTTCGAACAGTTCTCTAGTTCATTTGAATGAAGTTCGACAACGTGAGCCGGTTGACCCATATTGCTTACTACTCTCCAGGATGATTTTGTAGACAGTTTGGTCAAAACCAATCTGTCGTCCATAATCTTTTACGCTTTGAAGTGTACATAACACTCAGATTTAAATCCGAGATTTCCACATTTATTCTTATCTATTATCAGCAATGCGATCGACCACCATATGCTATAGACTCTTATTGAAGAATACTTTCGATATTTTACTCTATTCATTCTTTAGTTGAAAATTGAACCATATTTACTATCATCATCCTCGTCCTTCTAGTGCGTTCGTCTTTTAGCATCCAATCTAACCTAGATATGTAGTTGAGAAAAGATTATATATTAGTATTTATTTTATTTTATCGTCTGTTAAACTGTTCGCTATTAATCGTCAGAATTTATTATTTTCAGTTTTAATGATGTGTTCTTTTGTTTCATGAAGATTTTTTTTACTTATGCATGAAAATCAAAAAATTCATAAGTTTTGAAAGAGGTATCATAGGTTCACAATTTGTTCATACTTTCTATTGAAGTCTTTTTCTCCTATTAATCGAAATAGCAGTTTTGAAAATAAAGACATTCAGTTTCATAAAGTTCTTTCATCAGAGAAAGTCGTATTTGTGATAAAAAAAACAGCTTCTAAACTTAGTAAAACTAGTAGAGTTACTAATTAGTTATGTAAGATATCTTCTCGAATTAGGAAAAAATTATTTTGATACTTACATATGTTAAGATTTTAAACTACAAGTATCTCTAAATGTTCTTTTGTGCTGTTATATAGAAGATTTTGACACATTTTCGAGCTGAGAAATTCTCCTATTGATTTTAAATTAAGCAAATTACCTTCTCCCAATAATACACATGTAGAAAAGTATTCATTTCTACTTGCATTGTTCATGTATAACTGTTCAGATGTGAATATCATTGTATAGAAAAATGGTTCAATTGATCGTTTTTCATATGCATTTCAAAATTGAAACTTAATGGTAGTGATCTTATATTCTTGACTTATGATTTTTTATTCTTCATATTATTTGAATATATCGAATTTTGGGATTGTTTATGGTGTATTCCAGTAATAAAAGATGAATATTTATCACCGTGACTTCTACATGCTGGAAAAATCTAATTAGAAACTGATGCGATTTCTTTTTAGTAATTCATGTCGTTTCTCTTATGCCAATGATTAAAACTGCATACTAATTCATTGTACATCGACTGAGTATATATATAGATTAATTGTGAAAAACAGGTAAAATACACTCTGTTACCAGTCAAGTCATCGAAGATTAACTTAGTTTTAGATGTATACAGCTATAAAAATCAATCAGTTACTTTTGAATCTTTCATGTTTGATCAAATATTGAGGAAAAAAGAACTTAATCTTTATTTGGCGATAATTATCAGAATGAGACATCTAGTTTTATAGAAATCTATTTTAGCTAGGGTATGGGTGTAACAAGAACCACGCCTCGCACTCACTCACATCCTCAAATCGATGACAAACTGTAATCTGATGTCATCATGAGACTCATCACAACCAATCGTCCTATTTGGACTACTTTCCAATGTCTATAGGGTATTAGGCCAATTTCTTGTTTGTCAAAGATAGAAGCATATCTTCTAAACTATTTACGTTAAAAATCGATCATTCGATACATGGCAATCGTCGATTTCGTCATCATTTTAAAAGTGACAATGGATCATGAAAGAACAGAAACCATATTTAAAACATAAAAACGAAAATTTTCTTTCAAGAATACCTTAGTATGCATCCATTCTTTTTATCATTTGTAAGTGAAACTTGATGACTAGATAGAGAAACAATCGATACATTCTGCGATATACAATAGGTCGAAGAAGAACATACAAAGAAGTATTGAAAACATTAGATGTTTTCTTTATTTTGATGACTAATTCGAAATATCAGAAAATCCTTGATAATTATTTTGCTAAGTAATATCTGGTTGTTTAGACTCAACTATTATTCATTTTAATCAGTGGAAGTAGTATAGTGCACAAAAATGGATACCTTTCGGTTTTGAGCAAAATCAACAAGATTATGAAGAAAACAAAGAGATAAAATATCACTTGAATTTCAAAGATATTAATTCAATCGCAATGGACATCTATTGTAAATGCAGCTGACACATTATAACAAACATGAATGTTCATGGGCTATGGTTTCTAGTTTAGTTCATGCTCTATTTTAGTTTATTAGTGATCACTAATTGATTTGTAAAGTTGAGATCAGGGTGTGGGTGTGGGTGTGGGTCTGAGTGTGAGGTGTGGCTGTGGCTGTGGATGTGGATGTGGGTGTGGGTGGTGTGGCTGTGGGTGGGTGTGGGTGGGTATGGGAGGGTGTGGGTGTGGGTATCAAAGAAAACACGACTGACACCTAGACCCCACATCCACTCCCACGCCCACGCCCACCCACACCCACATCCACACCCACACCCACACACCCACACCCACCCACACACCCACACACACCCACACCCACACCCACACCCACACCCACACCCACACCCACACCCACCCACACCCACACCCTATAATATATTACAAAAGTAATAATACTTTGAACTTGACACACGTATGTCTTCATCGAACGAAAAAGCACAATTTATTATCGATTTACAGCAAACGTCATAAGTGGGCACGATTGAAACAACGAGGACGACAGAAGAGTTATTTGGTTATATTTTATTGATGAAATCCACATTATATGTGCATCATCTTGATAATTAATATCATCGCTTTTTCTTTCTATTAACAATGCTACCCTATTTTCCATAGAATCGCCTAATTTTTGAGCAAATTCAATAGCAAAGTTTTTCCATTCTTTTCTTTATTCTTCCAATGAAATAATTAATCGATATACACGGTTCTTTGTTTATTCTGAGCTACATTAATGCCTACGCATTTGGGGTGTGGGTGTGGGTGGGTGTGGGGTGGCTGGGTGTGGGTGTGAATGTAGGTGTGAGTGTGGTGTGGGTGTGGGTGTGGTGTGGGTGTGGGTGTGGGTGTGGGTGTGGGTGTGGTGTGGGTGTGGGATGTGGGTGGGTGTGGGATGTGAGTGTGTGTATGGGTGTGAATTTAGAGAGGAGTTACACCCACCCACACCCACACCCACACCCACACCCACACCCACACCCA